TGTACCAGCATTTTGGATGCAGTACTTTTCATAGTATACAGTGTGTCTTCGAAAATTGTTTTACACCATTCAGTACATACGATTATTCTTTACATTCTTTAATTAATATCTAGAAATTTGAGAGACGGCTGATACATATATGACATGCGGGCAGGCTTCTTGATGGAGGCACTACATTTTATAGAAAAATGCATCTTATTAAAACGTCTAGTTGTTTTGTATGAATGTGTCTTTGTATTGTTTATTTGCACTATACTCAAATAATGCATGAGTACAAGCAAAGATATTTTGACCCTATGTTGATGGAGCCAGAATTTTCTAACAATTATGCAACAACCCAACCTTTCTGGCAGGGAGTGTGCTGTGTACAGCCGGCCCACCTGCCCGCTTCCTCAATTGAGTCATGACGCTTATACGCATCGTATGTGAATACGTCATGACAGCTATAGCTGTACCTGAGTTTAATAGGGAAGTTAGCCTATTATCCACTGATAGCCTCTGCCATGACAGTGGGGTGTTCTTGAGCCTCTTCATGTAGGGTGCTGTGACATTTGCAAGCCAATCTACCTTAGGTATATTCTAGCAACCCAAGAGCTTATACTAGTTCCATACATGTTTCCAAGAGTGACGCACCCTCCAGAGACTGTCCCAAACCAGTGTATCATGCAAACCCAAAAACCTAAACCTAACCTCTTCTAAGTTCTATTTATTCCCTGGATAGGGGGTTAGCCCTCCTATACCAGGCCTTTATTATCACTTTGTGCCAGCTTGTAGAAAATAGACATTAAGGACTATGGTTGTCTGAAGGTGTTGTGGACTTAGTCTCTGAGCATTGTTATGCAGCGAATATTTTCATTGTTTTGCAGTAGATACGAGGCTACAGCAGCTCTGCTTGTGTTGTTTGACTATTTCTTGTGCTTTATATGATGGCAGTTTCCATTTCTGTGTGTCACTCTTGGTATTATTAACCCAATGCCGCCGGGTAAAAAAGTTTGGCAAGTGGACATGATAACAGGATTTTTGGCATCAGCAGTTTCCCCTGTTTGTGCCCGGCTTGTTCAGTAGTTTGTGAGCGACATTTGGTGCCTAACAGCTTTTATTTTGCTATGATTTATAAAAATAATATAATTCTGAAGGTCTACCTTCATTATAGGTGCCATTGCCTAAAGTATAAATGAAGCTACTACTACCCGTTTTTCGGACCACAACAGTCATGGCATGTAAGTACATGCCACCTGGTGACTAGTGGTTATACGACTGGTTCCTAATGTGTACAAGCTTAATTTTGTAAGAATGAATATGGTAGTTCCTAGGCATTGCAGATGCATATATGGTGGATGTTTGACACTACTTATAACACCCTGGTGACAGGCCCGGCTATAGTCATTGTGGAAAGCCTACCCTTCATGATGGGAACGAGTATAAGTGTCATGACTTGCTTGAGCGAGCAATCAGGAAAGGCTGGCTGTACATACAAAATGACTGGTTGGAAAGACCAGACTATTGCCAGTCATTGGAATGAGTGCCACATGGAACATTCTGGCATAAGATTTTCATAAAGATCACAGGTACAGCTGCTGCCATCTCATGTTTACTGCTAAAGAATGAAAATATTCACTGCATATCCCTGCTCAGAGACTTAGTCCGCAACACCCACACACAGGCAGACTTCTTTATGTTGCATTTTCTGTAAGGTGCATGAAGGGCTAATAAAGAGGGGGGTATAGGGGGGCTGCTCATGTGTCTAGGGAATAAATAGAAGGTAGACAAGGTTAGGTTTGGATTTTTGGGTTAGCATGATACCCTGGTTTTAGTACTTCACGGAGGGTGCGTCACTCTTGGTAACAAATAATGCAATTTGAATACATTCATTACTAGTTTAGGATAATTTTAGGTGGTATTTTTTCATTTTATTTATAATCTTTATTATTAATCATTCAGCATGTGGCAATTCCAACTTTGTTCATTGATATCCTGAGATGTAACATTATTTTAATATGAGATAAATATTATAGTTGTATTATTGCAGTTGTATTTGTGGGGGGTGACAAACAAGACTGTCAAAATTGTATGTAATGTATTGTACAGCATGTACAGAAGCAGATGTAAGACCAAGGGGAGGAAGAAATCCTCACCCACTTTGAAAGTGTAACTGCTGAATGCAGTATCATTGGGAGTGATACTATACAAAGTGGCTATAACTGCAAACTGAAATATTACACACCAATATATCCCACCCTCGATCTCGTCTCTATTGCTAATGTCATCCTTTCAGTCTCATTAGTTCATGTCTGTGTGGATATTTTAGGCAGGCAGGGTTTTATTATCCTGAGGATATCCTTGATTATCTCAAGCTGGAATGAAAATCTGCTTCATCACTCTACCCAAGGGCTTGTGTACAACATTAGGGTTGACTACCATCTAGTCAAACATCTTCCAATACTACATGATGGTTGAGATATGCTGAGCAATCTGGTCACACGTGTCCACCCTCGTCTGCCCTGTGTTTTACTTACTAATGCACCTGTCACTGCCTGTTTTTGGCACCCTGTCATGAACGTCTCACTGTTTTGTAAAATCAAGGAGCCTCATCATTAGTTCTACCACTGCAAACACAACATGCTTGAGGTGTTTTATATTTAAAAAACATGCTTCCATTTTGAGAAAGAAGTCTGTAGAATGTGACACCTCTTGTCAGAATTTTTTTTTTTTTTTTTTTTTTTTTTTTTTTTTTTTTTTTTTGAATTTTTATTCCATAAGGATTATTTTTTGCTGAATTGACTTCCTTGGAATAATTTTTTGCTTAATTCTTTCATTTTAAGATAACTTTTGTGTTTGGTACCTTTGATAAAATAATTTTTATTAGATATTGTATCACCATTATTTTTTGCTTAGTTACTTTTACAGAACTTTGTTGTAAGGGGAATGCATGTATTGTGTTAATAATTGCTCATTCTTTCCACAGACTTGCAGAAGTACAAAATGCGTGTAGATCTTGGATTAATCATCTTGTTGGCGGCTTGCTCAGTAGCTTCTGCAGAAGATGAAAAGAAGAAAGAGAAAGTAAAAAAACTGCAAATTGGTGTTAAAAAACGTGTAGATAACTGCACTCTCAAAAGTCGTAGAGGAGACCTACTACACATGCATTATGCAGTAAGTACAACAGAAAATTTCTTTTTGCAGTCCGAAGAGAATGCTCTGCTCCCTTATCCACCCTCCAATCCCTCTATTCCCATTCCCTCTACATTAAAAGTATTTGCTGATATCCACCCTCCTCCACCTCAGGTTCCCCCTGCTCCTTTTTCTCCTAGCATTCTATCCCAACACACCCTGTCCTCTCCATCTCTATGTGTATCATTCCCTCTTCGTTCCCCATTATCCTTACTGCTCCCACCAGGATGCTCACGTGAATCCCTTCTGTCTCATTACCCGCTGATTGTTTCATAATGGTTCTTTTGCCAGACCTTTATAAACAATGTTCCTATTCCTTCCCCAACAAGAAGTACACTACATATCATCCTATTGCCCGATGCCTTTAACCTTTTCCTCCTTTACAAATCTCCACTTTACTTTATTTGCCCCCACCCCTCTCTGTACCCATTTGACTACCATACTATCCTGTCTGGTATCATGTGAAATTTATGAATTTGGATTATTCAAGGAAGTGTAGATAGACAATGTATTGTAATATTAATAAAAACTACTATTAGAAAGAGAATGGTAACTGAGCAACAGCCGATCTTCATCAGGTATTTAAAAACGCATTTTCTTGAACGTGAAAATCGTGATATTAGCCTAAATTAGTTTAGTGTTCATCTAAGTTATTTACCTGTAATGAGTTTTCACATAGATCACAGTGAATAAATAAAGACCAGCAAATGTGGGTTTGGTATGATATAACAAGATTCAGAATTTTTGAACATCATCAATATTTGTGTATAATTAAGGAAGAAATTAGGAGTATTAATTTCAGTTCATATGTAAAAATAAACTTAAACACCTTTGATCATTGTTGTGTTTTAGCCCCATGATGTTTGGATGGCAAGAATAAATGTCATGTCCACTGTGTGTTTTTTATTTATTGATTGTCATTACACAAATAGCTCCATAAGTGCTTAGCCCAATGCCTCTGGGATAATTTAGGGGTACTTGGCCTTCATTTTGGGAAATATACGAGGCCAACTAAACTTGTCTCTGGAGCCTGTTTTAGACACGGTCATTGTGTCACACTTGTTGCGCTGCACCATCAAAATGATATATGTTTTTGATCACTTGTATCTAAAGTGATATTTTAATGTTTTTGCATATTCAGAGATACATGATGTTCATTTTAGTTGTAAGATTGAACCTGTAGTAGGCTGATTATATAAATTAGAGCCCATTTCTGGTGTGTTGCTTTCTGTAAAAGATGAAATATGGTTTTATTAAGGGATAAAAACAAGATTTTTCTTCATTCTGCAAATCTTGTTCTTATGAAATAAGAGATTGTATATAGTTATATACAAGGCTACAGTTAATCTTTACAGTAAGGTCGCACTTAGCTAGGATAAATTGAAGATGATATTCTTGTAGAAGACATAAAGTTCCAGTTGTAAATATAAGAAATGATCTGCAGCTACGAATGGTAATGCCACAAAGAAAGGAAAAAGATTGCAAAAAATGCCGTTTGCAGCCTAAGTCCACTCAATGCTCCCGAGTCTCAGCTCTATTTTACTGTGCATACTGAGATGAAAACAATTTTTGCCAGGGGATGTTGAAGAGCAAAGCCCCACATTAACCCACACCTTGGGCAGTGCCTAAAATGCACACCTTGTCACAACAATTTAGGTTGTTGCCTCTGGGAAATGCTTCTGTACTGCTACTACTCCTATGGCATAGTTGTTACCTTTTGTCTGTCATACTACAAAGAGAATGATCATATAAACTAGAATGAAGGTTTGTAATGGGTTCACAGCAACAGCAAGAGAGATGTGTTTTCTTGTATGACCTCTTCCAGGGATAGCAGATGAATGATTTATGTGTTAAATATTTCCCCTATGAGGGTACTTCATAATGAACATCATGAAATACTAGGCATGCATCATGGTAACATAATGTTAATGACCTGTCCCCCGGAGCCATGCCCAAATCAGCCATGACTGGAATAACACATCACCCAGTGCCCCGACTTATTAGCCATGATGTGAACCCCATGTTATCTAGAGGCCAAGGCTTAACCCCTTGGATCCGGGTGCTTTGCTGTCCACATATGGTCCAAAATCCAGGCAGGACTCTGATTTATCTCTGCTTTACAATGTTATCTGTGTTTCTGGTCATTTTCCAATGTCTGTTTATCATTTGATAGGCTGTATCCTGAAAGTAATACTGTATTGCTGGCACAGAGTCCATAACATCTCTCTAAGTAGTCCATAACTTAGTGGAATAACGATAAGAATCAGTTATATTTGTAATTTTTAGATATAGTAATATTCAGTTTTCTGTAATACATCCCCCCCCCCCACTCCAGTCATAAGGGGTGGAATAGGATCCTGAGCATGAAAATAGTGTCCTCCCTGGAGCCAGAACTCTTCTAGCCATATCTCACTGATGGTACATTCTACACTTGTTTACCAATGGACACAATGCAAAAGACCTTTAGAAAATGCTCACTGAGTCTAATCACCCTCTAAGACCTTTTTGCACTTGTGGCGAGTCATTCCCCTCACCCCAGTCTTCAGCTGAAATTCTCATTATGACCTGTTCCTAAGTCTTCACACCCTCTAGATCCGAGGGGTTAAACACGATTACTATTCGTACCTATCTCATCTGTTTACCTTTGCCCTGATTTTCAGATTTTGTTATTTTTGATTGCTATTTGTATTGTCAGTGATGTAAATAACGTTTATATTATTAGCAACAGAAAAGAATAATTCTTCTGAAAACTGTGTGTGTATGGGGGGAGATAAAAGGGTAAAAGGGTAAGCACTTTTATGTATTTCTCATCTTTTGTTCTTATTTCAGGGTAAACTAGAAGATGGCACAGAGTTTGACAGCAGTTATCCTCGTGGCCAACCGCTCACATTCACCTTAGGTTCTGGACAAGTGATTAAAGGCTGGGACCAAGGCCTCATTGGGTAAGATAAGATTCTCTGTCTTTCTCTCTCTATCTGTCTTATCTATCTATCCGTCTATCTATCTATCTATCTACCTGTAAGAGATTGTAAAGCTTCCTAAGTGGGACTGGTAGAATACACACAAGTAAATAAAGCCACAATATGCATGACTGGGAACGGTGCTTAGCGGTTGCGTGGTTGGCTAACCATTGTGAGGCTGGGGCTGAAAGGGTCTCGATCAGGTGACAGCAACAGGTGATCTCTCTGCGGGTCATGCCATGTGGCCAGCAGAGGGCTGAGGGGGCAGTGTTTGTGGTAACAGCAATGCACGTTGTCTGTATGTTTCCTGACAAGATGTGTCTTTTTATGTGGTGGCTCCGAATGGTGTTTGTTTCCATTTTGGAACACAAGCAGGCATGAGCAGATATGTGGGAAACATGGGGCTTTTTTTTTCATAGCGTGGAGCCTATGTAGAATCATGTTTGTGTGCTAATGGCTTGCATATAATCCCTCTCCCTCCCCCTCCTCCCTCCTCCCTCCCTCCCTCCCTCCCTCCCTCCCTCCTCCTCCTCCTCCTCCTCCCCTCCTCCTCCTCCTCCTCCTCCTCCTCCTCCTCCTCCTCCTCCTCCTCCTCCTCCTCCTCCTCTCCTCTCCTCTCTCCTCTCTCCTCCTCCTCCTCCTCCTCCTCTCCTCCTCCCTCCTCCCTCCTCCCTCCTCCCTCCCTCTCCCCTCCCTCCTCCCCCCTCCCCCTCCCTCCCCCCCCTCCCCTCCCCTCCCTCCCTCCTCCTCCCCTCCCCTCTCTCCTCCTCCCCTCTCTCCCTCCTCCCCCTCTCTCCTCCCTCCCCCTCCCTCCTCCTCCCCTCCTCCCCCTCCTCCTCTCTCCTCTCTCCTCTCTCCTCTCTCCTGTCTCCTGTCTTGAGTTTATGACCTATCATTGTCTTTCAGAATGTGTGAAGGAGAGAAGAGAAAGCTAGTAATTCCATCTGACCTCGGCTATGGAGCCTCTGGTGCCCCCCCAAAGATCCCCCCACATGCGACCTTGGTCTTCGAGGTCGAGCTTGTCAAGATTGAGCGTAAAGAAGAACTCTGAAAGGAAGCAACAAACAGTTTGTATTATGATACATTATGATATTTTTTCAATATGATGTCATTTGCTATCTTGTTTTCAAGGTAAGCTTTTACTGCCATTTAAAGTAAAACCATTGTGAAACTTTTGACATTGATATGATGTGCTTGAAGTTTATTTTATATTTCTGTATTTAAACAAGATCACAACTTTTGAAAGATGTTATTCATTAATGTAAACAGTTTACATCACCTGCAAAATGAAGTGAATCCCTTCTCTACCATCTGTACTAAATAAATTCTGGATTAAAATGAGTGTCTTTATTACTAGTGTCCATTGGTG